GGGAGGGAGAGAGGGAGAAATGGAAAGAGGGAGAGAGAGAGAAACAAACAGACAGACAGACAGAAATAAAAAAAACGAGAAACTTCTTTGTTTCTCACTTTTTATTTCTGTCTGTCTGGCGGAAAAGAAAAAAAAAAGAAAATGAAGACGAAAAAGACGAAGAAGAAAACTAGAAAGGCGAAGAAGAAGAAGAAGAAGAAGAAGAAGAAGAAGAAGAAGAAGAAGAAGAAGAAGAAGAAGAAGAGGGAAGAGGAGAAGGTGAAGGAGACGGGAGGGAAAAGGTCACCCAAATCACCGGGTCCCTTCGTCCTGAAACGGTCACTCTGAGGGTCAGATTTGATTCAGAAAATTACCGACGGCTTTCCTTGGGGTCCCCGACCGGCGGCTCTTCTTCTGCCCGATTGGGTGATATGTCGATTATTATCTTGATGTTTTATTTTTAGATCTACTGTGGGTCTCTGGCGCTGTCTGTCTGCCTGTCTGTCTGTGTGTCTATCTCTGTTTTTCTCACTTGTTTTCTTTCTCGTTTTCTGTGTCTCTATCTTTCTCTCTTTTTCTTTCTCGTCCCCCCCCCTCTCTCTCTCTCTCTCTCTCTCTCTCTCTCTCTCTCTCTCTCTCTCTCTCTCTCTCTCTCTCTCTCTCTCTCTCTCTCTCTCTCTCTTCTCTCGCTCTTTCTCTCCCTCCCCTCCGTCCCTCTCTCTCACTCTCTCTCACTCTCTCTCTCTCTCTCTCTCTCTCTCTCTCTCTCTCTCTCTCTCTCTCTCTCTCTCTCTAACTCTCTCTCTCTTCTCTCTCTTCTCTCTGGTCCAAATAAATCAAAAAATAAAAAGATAAGTGAATCCACCACCTGTTGAAGACAAAAACAAGTGGTTGGAGTCGTTGGCATGTTTCCCCTTCATTGCAGAGACCATACCACGTCCCTTTTTATTGCAATTGCAAGAATTTTAAGCATCAGATGTAAAGGACAAAGCAGTGTCTCCTGCCTCTCTTCTTTTCTTCTTTCTTTCTTTCTTCTCCTGTTTTATTCTCCCTTTTCTCCTCTTCTTCCTCTTGCTCCATCTCTTTCCTTCCATTCCCTATCCTCCCTCCCCCCCCCTTCCTCTTCCCCTTCCCATACCCCTTCTCCTCCTCTCTCCTCCCCATTCCCTTTCTTCCTCCCCCCCCCTCCCACTCTCCTCGTCCATCTCCTCCCCCTACCCCCCCCCCCCCCACCACCACCACCTTGCAATTGATTTTGTAACGACGCTGCATTCTTTACGAGTCGCTGCCGTAAAAAGCGATAGCAACTGAACACTAATTTGGAGAAAAATTTTAGGTACTAATGGTTTAACTCTACATGGAATGAAAACACATGAACACGTTTAGAGACAGATGGTCATATGTGTGTGTTTATGTGTGTGTATATAGATAGATAGGGTAGAGAGAGAGAGAGAGAGAGAGAGAGAGAGAGAGAGAGAGAGAGAGAGAGAGAGAGAGAGAGAGAGAGAGAGAGAGAGAGAGAGAGAGAGAGAGAGAAAGAAAGAGAAAGAGCAAGAGAGCAAGACCAAGAGCAAAAGAGAGAGTGAGGAGATACAGATAGAGAAAGACAGAAACAAAGATGGAGACAAATAAAGAGAAAATGAGGAGAGATAGAGAGACAGACAGATAGCCAGACAGACAGACAGACATACTGAAGAAAAAAAAAAAAACATCCCCAAAAACAGAGTCCAAAGAAACACAGAAAGAGAGGCAGCCACGGAGGCAAACCACACTTCTTAAAAAAAAGTGTGAAGCGAAAAAGCAATAAAGCGTAAGGGAAGAGGAAGAGGGAGCTCGAAAGGCTACCCTCGGCCGCGGTACATGAACCACAGGTGGGTTTGTGGGGAACAGCTGTTTTTTTTTCAATCTTCTTTTTCTTCTTAATTTTCTTCTTCTTCTTCTTCCTCTTCTTTCTTCTCTTATGTTTTCTCTTCTTTCTATTCTTCTTCCTCTTTTTTCTTTTTCTTTTTCATTTTCTTCATCTTTTTCTTATTATTAGTTTTCTTTTCTTCTTTATTTCTTCTTCTTCTTCTTCTTCTTCTTCCTTTTCCTTGGTCTGATCCTTGTCCTCTTCCCTTTTCTTCTTCATCTTCATCATCATCATCTTCCTTTTCTTCCGCCTCCTACTCCTCCACGGCCTTCTCCTTCTTCTCCTCCTCTTCCTCCCCATCCACACTTTTTTCTAGCTCTTATGATGGGGTAAAAGAAAAAAAAAGAAAAAAAAATATCGTTCACTTTCATTTTGAGAGGAATTTGGAATCTTGGAATTCTTAAAGATTTGGAATAATTTGGAACGGAAAGATTTATTTACTTATTTATTTATTCATTTATTTGTTTATTTATTTACATATTTTTTTATTTTTGTTCGTTTGAGGAAACTGTTTCATTTAACATGTTTTCTATAAAAAAAAAACGAAGTTAATATCTCGTCATAAGTTTAGAGAGGAATATTAAGTTTAAGTTTAAGTTTAAGAAGAATTCAGTCATTGAGACGATAATAATGATGGCATTAAGCGAGTTTTGCAATGCAATACGAAACACTAAACGGCGTATATGAAATTGTTTTAGAAGGCAAACCAGGTTAAGAAAATTTATAGGATAGTCAAGCATGCTGATCATCTCTTCGTGCTTGCAAAAAAAAATAAATAAATAAATGAATAAATAAAAAAGAGAGAGAGAAAATAAAAGAGAAGGAAAACAAAATAGGAGGAAAGAGAGAAAAATATAAAAAGAGAATTTAGGGGGAAAATGTGAAAGAAAAGATCGAAAAGAGAGAGGAAAAAATATATATAAGAGAGGGAGAGAGAGAGAGAGAGAGAGAGAGAGAGAGAGAGAGAGAGAGAGAGAGAGAGAGAGAGAGAGAGAGAGAGAGAGAGAGAGAGAGTAATAGAGAGAGAGAAAGAGAAAACGAAAGAGAAAGAGAGATATAGACAGAGAGAGACAGAGAGAAAGAGAAAGAGAAAAAGAGAGACAGAGAGAGAGACACGTTCACCGACCTGCCCGCGTAAGCAAGATGGCGCACGACGATCGGACATACTTGGAAACTCACGAAGGATGCGATACGAGGAAGCCAGGAATTACTGGCAATCCGACGCAGTTCTGGAGAGGGGGGGGGGAGTGGAGGATGGGGGAAAAGAGATGGGGATGGAAGAGGAGGATGGGAGAAAAGGACGGTGAGGGATGGGAGTGTGGGGGGGTAGGGATGAGGATGGGTAGGGGATAAGAGAGATGAGGGAAGGATGGGGAGGGGGAAGGGGATAGGGGATAGGAGAGGGGAAGGGGGTAAGGAAGAGGGAAGAAGTGGATAGAGATTGTGAAAAGGGGGGGATGGGGAGGGGGGCCCAACAACGAGGACAGCAAGATTTTTTTTTCTCTCTCTCTCCTCTCTCTTTCTCTCTCTCTCTCTCTCTCTCTCTCTCTCTCTCTCTCTCTCTCTCTCTCTCTCTCTCTCTCTCTCTCTCTATTTGGCGACTGGCGAGACTAACTCTTATGCATGCGTGACATTCCCAGCGGGGGAAAGATGGCATAGTTTCGATGGGGGGAGGGGGGAGGAGAGAGGAGAAGGGGAGGGGAGGGGAGGAGGAGAGAGGGGGTGGGGAGGGGAGGGGAGGAAGGAGGAGGAAAGGAGGGGATAATGGGCGATGGTGGGGAGGGAAGGGGAGGGAGAATGAGGAATGAGAGAGAGAAGAGAGGGAGGGAGGGAGGGAGGATGTGGGGGGAGTGGGGGGTGGGGGACGGTGGTGGAGGGGAATAGGGTGGGGGGGAGGGAGGGCAAAGGGAAGGGGAGAAGGTGGATCGTGTTTATATAACAGTCCTTGTATTTTGATCGTGTTGCGCAGGTTGTTTGTGTTAGCTTAGTCTGTCGAAGGGAAAAAAAGGAGGTAGATGGATAGGTGGATGCATAGGTGGATAGGTGGATCAGTGGATGGATAGGTAGGTGGATGATTGAGTGGATAGGTAGGTGGGTGGATGGATAGGAAGGTAGGTGGATGGATGGATGATTGAGTGGATAGGTAGGTGGGTGGGTGAATGGATAGGTGGATAGGTGGATGGATGGGTGGATGAGTAGGTAGGTAGATAGGTGAATAGGTGGATGGATGAATAAAAAAAAATGGGCGTCGGCAAGTGGCGTAATAGGCAGCGATAGGGCGGAATGCGGATGGGTGGGCGTGCGGGCGGGCGGGCGGGCGAGGGGCGGCATTCACGTACCTTGTAATGTTGACGTTGAGGCTCAGGCGTCGCCACCTCGATTGCGCCGGAGGGTGGGGTGGGGGGTGGGGGGGAAGGGTAGAGGGAGGGATAAGGGGGGGGCGGGATTTGTTAATTTATTTGTCTGTGATTATACAAACTAAAAGAAAAATAAAAAAAGAAAGAAAGAAAGAAAGAAAAAAACGAAAACGAAAACAGGCAAACATAAAGATAAACAGCAATAAATGCATGACATATAGGTGTTCCTGATAAACATCTCTCAAAGGCCATTCAGGCTCACCTCTGCCACACACCCCCCGCAAACCTGTATCCAATTTTAATGCATTTTCTGCCGTTCTCTCGTTTTTCCTTTCTCTTTGCCCTTTTCCTGATTTCGCTTGAATGTTTACGTATACTAGGCAAAGAGAGGGAGAAGGAGAGAAGGGGGATGCAGAAAGGGAGATGGAAAGAGAGAAAAAGGGAGAGAAAGGAAGAGAAAAAGGGAGAGAAAGAAAGAGAAAGAAAGAGAAAAAGGGAGAGAGAGAGAGAGTGAGAGAGAGAGAGAGAGAGAGAGAGAGAGAGAGAGAGAGAGAGAGAGAGAGAGAGAGACAGAGAGAGAGAGAGAGAGAGACAGAGAATTCTATCTAGTCAATCTAGCGAAAAAGCGCTATCTGACAAGTGTATGCGTACAATCACATTCCTCTTCATATTAGGCATTTATAACATCTTTAAAATGTTTGTTTTTTGCTATTCATCTGTTTATTAAACCATTTTTTTCTTTTCTCTCTTTGCAGACTTGGTTTTTCACGGACGACGACGATGCCGAATACCAGAGGAAAACAGGTTAGCGAAAACTAGTTTAATTCGTTTTTATTACTACTACGATCTTTAGTAATGATGGTGTTACAGCTTTATAGGCCTATAATGACTGTGATAATGTTTACGATTTGAAGTCACACGCACGAAAAAAAAAAAGAAAAAAAAATTAAAATAGGTTCGGTGTTGGTCAGAAAGTGCGCGGTTGTTGAGACGAGAAACACCTTGTTTTATGCGTCGCTGTTGGTGTGTGTTTCTGTTGCTTTTCTAGAGAGAGATAGGTGGTGTGTATAGTTTTTTTTTTGGTTTGTTTGTTTGTATGAATATAAATGTTTCCTCTTTTAGGTTAATTTTTCATTTTCATTTTCACTTACTTATTTATTTAATTACTTACTTAGTTCATTCCGTCATACATACACACTCATGCACACGCGCCCTCACTCATTCCCTCTGTCACACACACCTCTCTCCCTTACCCCCTCCCCCCACACACGCACTCACCCTTCCCCCATCCCACATACACGCACCTAACGACGCCCCCCCCCCCCACACACACATATGCGCGCACTCACCCTCACTCACTCCATCACACACACACGCACACACACACACACACACACACACACACACACACACACACACACACACACACACACACACACACACACACACACACACACACACGCACGCACTAACCTCTCTCTCCCCTACCCCTTTCCCCACACACCCGCACGCAACGACACCCCCCCCCCCACACACACATATGCACGCACTCACCCTCACTCACTCCAACACACACACACACACACGCACGCACAAACGCACGCACGCACGCACACTCTCGCGCGGGCCGGCGTGATGGAACCGCCTTACAAGTATATACAATGAACAGAGACAACAAACCTTGTGCAGATGGTACGGTGTTGCGTTACTCAGCTGGTGTGACTCCATCTTCGGGGCCAGCTTTTCGTACATGCCTCGAGGACTTCATCTGTCTTTCTCTTCGTATTTGTGTTTTATTTCGTGTGTTTTTTTCTGTTTTTTGTTTTCTTTCTTTTGTTTATTATTATTATTATTATTATTATTATTATTATTATTATAATTTTCTTTGTTTGTTTTTCTGCTTCTTATCTCTTCCTTCCCTCTTTCTCATCCTCGCTCCATCTCTCCGTTTTCCTCTTCCTCGCCCTATCTCTCCATTCTTTCCTCCTCCCCTCCCCCCTCCTCTCTTCTCCTTCTCTCCCTACCTCTTCCCTTCCCTCCTTTCCTTCCTTTAACTCACCCTCTCTCTATTCCTCCCTCCCTCCTCTTCCCTCCTCTCCTTCCCTCCCTCCCTCCTTCTCTTCCTCTAACTCACCCTCCTTCTGTTCATCCCTGTCTCCTCTCCCTCTCTCCTTCCCTCCCTCCCTCCCTCCCTCGTTCCCTCCTTCGGTTCATCCCTGTCTCCTCTCCCTCTCTCCTTCCCTCCCTCCCTCCCTCCCTCGTTCCCTCCCTCGTTCCCTCCCCCCCTCCCTCCCTCCCACTGCAGCATCGATATTCATTCATAAAGCACTTGGATCAGAATCACGTTACAAACCCACAGTGCATTAGTCCTCCACCCCCACCCCCCCGTAAACATCAACATTACCCATAGCGTCACCCCCCCCCTCCACTATACGTCACTATAATCTCAACATCACCATCAACTCCCCCCCCCACCCTCCCTTGTCCAACTCACCCCCTGTCAAAACGAAAAAAATATACGTGCAGAATGTGAGACGAATAGGCAAATAGCAGTTAAAAATAGAGATAGTAATAAAAAAGGATAAACCAATGAAAAAAAATGAAAAAAATATAGGAGAAAAACAAATAACAGAAAAAAATCAACAATGATAAAAAAAGATAAACAGATGAAATAAGATGAACCGTAACATTTTAAAAAAAAGTAAAAAAAAAAAAAATAATAACAATAAAAATAATAAAATTTAATAAAGCAGAAAGAAAGAAAGAAAAAAAAATCTATTAGACGTTCCCAGTGTCACAGAGCAGATGTTGAGTCACCACACGCCCAGCTTTTACAGGCTCGAGTTTCCTACCACCGGCTGTTACCAAGGAATCCCCTGATACCGGATTACCACAGTTACCACAAAGGGTATACTTGACTTGTCACATCGACCAGCTAGCTACCAACCACAAGACGCATCTGACACTACCGCCTACCACGAAAGAGGGGGGGGGAGGGAGGGAGAAGAAGTAACAAGTGGTAGGGAATGGTAGGTGATGGTAGCAAGTGGTAGGAGGGTGGTAGTTGGTTGTAAGTGTTGGCAGGAAGGGGTAGATTGGTGGCAGAAAAAAGCGTGGTGTCAGAGGGACCAACAAAACGCTACCTGACACCACCCCAAGAGCAGAAGTAACAGGTGGTTGTACGTGCTGGCAGGTGGTGGTTGTGGTGTCAGAGGAAGCATTTCATCCTCCCCTCCTCTCCCCCCTCTCCCCTCCTCCCCATCCCCCCTCCCCCATCCGTCGGAGCGTGGGAACTACGATCTCATTCGGTGAATCACGACAGATTTCTTTCGGGGTCGCGTTTCCCACTATGACGTCATGGGTGGGGGGGGAGTGGTGGGAGTGGGGGTGTTGTTGTAGCGGAGGGGGTGGGGGTGGGGGTGGCAGTGGCGGTGAGAGATTTTTTTATATCACCGACAGAGAAACAGGTCAGAGAGTTGATATTAGGTACATAGAGAGAGTCTCTAACAACGAAAACAACAACAATCACAAACACCACCGTCACCAACAACAAGAAAACAACATCACCACCACCAACAACGTCATCACCGCCACCACCACCAGCAACATCACCACCACCAACATCACCACCACCATCACCACCACCAACATCACCACCAACAACAACATCACCACCACCACCACCTACAACAGCACCACCGCCAACAACAACAACGTCATCACCACCACCGCCACCATCAACATCCCCACCGCCAACAACACCACCACCACCACTATCAGCGTCACCACCACCACCGCCACCACCACCAACAACAACGTCATCACCAACACCACCACCTACAACACCACAACCACCAACAACACCACCATTATCTAGCATTCGTTTCCATCCTCTTCCCGGGCGCCGCGCAAACAGGTCTCGAGGAGCAGAACAACAAAATGAAAAGCCATCGCCGCTAGTGTCTTCATTACGCTTGCAAGCACAGGTGGTTAAAGGGGTCGCTGGTTGGGGTGGGAGGGAGGGAGGGAGGGGAAGGGAAGGGAAGGGAATGGGGTGGAGGGTTGGGAGGGGAGGGGTTGGGGGTGGAGGATGGGGGGATAAGGGAATGGGGTGGATGGGTGGGAAGGGAATAGGTGGAGGGGGGGGGAAGGAATGGGGTGGAGGGGGAGGGGGATAAGGGAATGGGGTGGAGGGTGAGGAGGGGAGGGGAGGGTAAGGGAAGGGGAGGGGAGGAAGGGGTTCAGTACCTCGTCTTGTAATCCGGTCACATACGTCCTTCTTGAACGCGGATCTCTCTTCCCTGTGATGCCTTTCACTCATCTCCTCACCTCCCCTCACTCCCTCACTCCCCCCCTTCATACCCTTCTCTCGTACCCCCCCTCCTCATTCTTTTCATACCCCCTCATACCCTCCTCATACCCCTCTACCCCCTCCACCCCTTCCATCTATCGACGAGCATCGTATTCACAGCAGCATCCGTAAATAATCGCTCATCTCTTCACACCATTTATTATCTCTTTGGCTCCCTCCCTCCCTCCCTCCCTCCCTCCTCCTCCTCCCCATTCCCCCCACTTCCCTTTATCCCTTCTCTTTATTCCTTCCCTCTCCCTTCTCCGTTTTGTCTCTCTCTTTTCTCCTCTCTCTCTTTCTCTCTCTCTCTCTCTCTCTCTCTCTCTCTCTCTCTCTCTCTCTCTCTCTCTCTCTCTCTCTCTCTCTCTCTCTCTCTCTCTCTCTCTCTCGCTCTCTCTCCCCCCCCCAACAGTGCCTACCCCGTTCCGCTCCCCCCCCCCTCCTCCTCCTTCCTTCCCCTTGCTTCATCAGCACTTTCCGTACACAAACATAAGCGCTCGCTCCCTCACTCACTCCACTCACTCACTCACTCACTGACTCATTAACTCAATCACTCACACACACACCTCCCCCCCCCCCCCACACACACTCCTTTCCCCACCCCAAATCCTCATAATTACCATCATCATCACCGCCTCCACCATCATCACCACCACCATGAAAATTGCAACACCACTTTTCTCCACCACCATCATCATCACCACCACCTCCACCATCACCACTACCACCTCCCCCCCCCCTTATGAAAATCGCAACACCACCATTCTAACACCCCCCCTCCTCCTTCCATTCCAGGCGGTCACCTGATCAACACCAACTGCTCAGCGTCCCACAGGAGGACTGCGCTCTGTTGCAAGATGGCCAGGGAGTTTGATGCCTTCTTGGAGAGCAATAAGAGGTAAGGAAAAGAGTTGTTGTTGTTGTTGGTTTTGTTTATTTTATTTTATTTTTTTTTGTTATTGGTTATATGGGTTTTGTTATTGTTTGTGCTTGTGTTGATATTGTGATAACAATTCTGCTACAGCTACTAGTTGTACTATTACTGTTTCTATTACTACTGTTACTATTACTATTACTACTACTACTACTACTACCACCACCACCACCATAACAACAAAAACTACTTCTATACTTACTACTACTACTACTGCTGCTGCTGCTGCTGCTACGACTAATTTACTATTTTTTTGGTACTTTCTGTTCTCTGGCCACACGAATTGTAACAGCTACAGGAATTTTAGATAAGAACATAAAGAAAAGTTGTTTTTTTAAGAACACCCAATATTTTTTCCCTCAAAATGGTTTTCAACGTTAAAAAAAATCCCGTTCATAAAAATCCAGATGATATATTTTTTTTTTATCCAATTCATTAAGATCCAGATTATATTTTTTTCATCCCGTTCAGTGACCTACGCAAAAGACAAAAGACAAAGGTAGCGACGTCTTGCGCTCCGTGACAGCGAATGACAGACAGGCGGGCGAGGGCAACCATGCACAAAAGGACCCGAAAAAAAAAAATTGGACAAAAGAAGCCCGTAATCACATCTACTCGACGACGAAAATAGGCGACGAGAAAATGGGCGCACACGTTCTGCAAATTGGGCGGCGGGGGGCTTGGTAGGAGAGAGGGGAGGGGGTAGGTGGGAGGAGAGTGGGAGGGGGGAGGGGGAAAGGAGAGGGGGAAGGAGGGAGGAGTAGAGGGGGAAGGGGAAGGGGAGAAGATGGGGGGAAAGGGAAGGCGAAGAGGAAGGGGGAGGTGGGGGGAATGGGAGGGGGTGAAGGAAGAGGGGGAAAGGGTTAAGAAAAAATGGAAGGAAAGAAGGAAAGGGTAAAGGACGAGGGAGGCGGGAAAAGTAAAGGGTAAAGAGAGAAAGGCCGGATAAAGGAGACAGAGAAGGGTCGGGAGGGGGTTAACAGACATTATTACTCAAGATCGAATCGAGACAGTAGCATTACAGGTGCGCCGGCGGCGGCCAGACGAGCCAGGGAGAAAGGGATGAATGCGTGTCCGGACGTGTCGCGATGCCTTTGACTCCTGACTTGGCATTCGTGGAAGGGGTAGGGGGTTCCCGTCTCTCCTTGATCTCTGTTTTTAAAAGAGACTGAATTGGATCGAGGTTGGTAAATAATAGAAATCGGTCTCCTTGCAATGCCCACAAAGAGAATGAGTCAGCGGTCCGAGGTGACTCAGACACAGGAACGCGGCGAAGAACAGAAGTCGGCGCGCGGGGTTCGGGACGAGGGGGTGTGGCCTCGGGGCGTACCTGGGGCAGCATCCGAACAATGGCGTCGCGACTCCCGCTCTGGTTTGTCTCCTCCCACCCCTCGCCGCCGATCGGTCCATTTCGTACATCTTGTCCAAATAAATAATTTATTTCCTGATGAAATAATTTTTAAAAACATTGAAGCTATTTTAGAGATAGTTATATAAGTCTTTACTATTCTTCTGTCAAATGCCAACGTCTCGACAGTATTCGAACAAGTTTAAAAAATAAATGAGAGGAAGTGCGCCGCGTCGGGAAAGAAGCAAAACAAAAGACGGTCGCCAGCCGCCTCCGAACGCCCTGCAGATGGCATTAGCAATTAGGCAAGAGTAATTACCCAGTAGTGGAAGGCTTTAATGGAACAAGTATATTATATTATATGGTTTCGCGTCACTCTATACCATACGCACGATCTATTTTCTCGTAGTTATTCGACGCAACGCTGTCATGTCATTTACATAAAAAAAAGAGAAAAGAAAAGAAAAACCGAGTATTGAATAAAAGCGCGGGGATTTAAACGACCTTCACGAAGCGATCAAAGAGAACAAAGACAATTCGTTGTTGTCTTTGTTGGTCGTTCGTTCCGATTGAGTTTGTTAATGGTATGAAGTTGGTTGAACCCCCGACGTCTACGAGATATTTCCTTTGTCACCGGCCACCTGCCGTTCGCCTCGCTGCCGGCTGTGAAATGCGCTCGTGTGTACAGACGGACGGACGGACGAACGAACAGACGAACGGACGGACGAATAGACGAACGGACGGAAGGAAGAACAGACTAACGGACGGACGAACAAACGGACGGACGGACGGAAGAACAGACTAACGGACGGACGGACGAACGAACAAACAGACGAACGGACGGACGAACAAACGAACGAACGGACGGACGAACAAACAGACGAACGAACAAACACATGCAGTCTGCCCGCACGTTCGCTCATCACGCAGTCATGTTGGGAAACGCACGTACTCGCGTACAAACATTCACGTTTTTTTTTTTTCTTTTTCGTTTCCTGTCTCTTTTTTTCTCTGGATATTTTTTCCCCTTTCATTTGTGATTTATATAGATTTGTGTTTCTCTCTCTTTTATAGTATTATGTATTCTATAGTATTATGTTTCTCTTTTCTTTATATTCTCTCTCTCTCTCTCTCTCTCTCTCTCTCTCTCTCTCTCTCTCTCTCTCTCTCTCTCTCTCTCTCTCTCTCTCTCTCTCTCTCTATCTCTCTCTCTCTCTCTCTCTCTCTCTCTCTCTCTCTCTCTCTCTCTCTCTCTCTCTCTCTCTCTCTCTCTCTCTCGCACACACACACACACACACACACACATACACACACACACACACACACACACACACACACACACACACACACACACACACACACACACACACACACACACACACACACACACCACTAATATCTCGAACAATGAGCACCACAACAATACACACTTACAATCTCCGCATACCATAATATTCGGCATTAATAACAATGTCTCGCCTTTCTCTTCTCTCCCCTCCCTCTCTTCCCCTTCCCCCCTCCAACACTCCCTCACCTTTTTTAACCTTCCCTTCTCCCCACCCCCTTTTCAACACTCACCCCTCCCCTCTGGAAACACTTCTTCCTTTCCCTCCTTTTTCAAC